CAGGCATAAAGGCTGCCCCTTCAACTGTAGAAGACAAAAGGAGGTTCTCTAGGAATATCTTACAGAGGGTTGGATTCCAGTTATAAAGTGTGTTTATCCACAGCTGATGCAGAATGGGAAGTTAATACTCTGATAAACAGACTCGAGAGTCAAAAAGTCAAGCATGGGTTGCAAACACAGCATAAACAAGATGAAATGCAATAAGGATAACTTAGGTTTGACCAACACTTTCACAAATGCCAGATGGAGGAATTATGGCTTCACAGGTTGTTAAAAGGAAAAGTACTTGGAAGTTTTCATTAATAATATGAGCCAACACCAATTTTATGGCTCAGAAAATCTTGACCTAAAGCAGTGCCTTAGAGCAGTAATACAGGGGTAATAATTTAATTATTTTATTAAATGCCATCTATCTTCATTACGTAATCCATGAAAGCACAGACAAAAAAATTAAAAACAACCCACAGTCCCATCACTCAAAAATAAGCACTGTCTCCATTTCTGCATTCAATTTCTAGGCATATTAATGTACATTGTAAGTCTTTGCAGTTACTTTTTTATAAAAGTAGATTCAAGCTATGAATCCTCTTTCACAATCAGTTGGATTGATTATGCATCAATATATCTGCCCCCACTCCGTGCTCCACTGAGTGACACCTGGTGCGTATTATTCAATTTCTTACCTTTTCGTCACATTTCAAAAGGTCATTTTGAAATTTGAGAATATTCAAAGGAGCGAAAAAGGTGGTTAAAAGTACGCACATTTGCATTCAAACACCTAAGCTCCATCGTCCTGTCACAGCTAAGGACAACAGCAGTTCTTCCGTGAAAAAGAGCAAATTTCCAAGAAAATAATACAGTTAAATGCACGTCCCTGCAGAACTGTCATGGCAAATGAATTCGGCCACTTTTGTATTGACCCATGCAGCCAAGGCTACTACTAGCTTCTAGGAGTTACAGCAAAGTGGATTTCAGTTCAATAAAAAAAAAAATAGATTTTTTTTTTATGATCACAGCTATCAAAAAGTGGAACAGAATAAATAGAAGGCAGGCGCAGTGGAGCAACCCTGTAATCTAGTACTGGGGAGGTTGAGGCTGGAGAATGCTCAGTTCAAGATCAGAGAGAGAGAGAGAGAGAGAGAGAGAGAGAGAGCGCGCGCGAGCGCCCCCCCAAAAAGGGGGGGGAGGGTGGGGGCTGAATCTAGTCACTGGGAATGCTAATAGTGCTGGAGATAACTATCTGGAAAGGAATTTTGCAGAGGAAATTTCTACACCATGTAAGAACTTGGATTAAAGGTCTCTTTGGGCTTAAGGATTCTGATCCCAGTGAAAATTTTACTATGGTAATTTACTACCATAAGAAATTCAGTCCTCAGAGTCTCATGCACCTTAGAGCAATGACAGGAATCCTAACACTAACAGTGAACACTTATGTAGTCAACACTTATTACTTTTTACATCATTTATTCCTTAACAAAACAAAACCGTAGAAACAGATACCATTACTATTTCCTTAAAAAAAAAAAACCCTAGGGATAGATACTATTACTATTTCCTTAACAAAACTCTGGTTACTGTTACTATTTCCTAGTAACAAAACCCTAGTTACTATTGCTATTTCCATAACAAAACCCTAGTTACTATTAGTTTTTCCTTAACAAAACCCTAGATACTTTTTCCAGCTCACCACATTTTGCAGCGTGACTCTTTGTAGCAATTTAAGGGCATTCTTCTGTGCACTAAAAACTACACTGTCCCTCAAGCCCACAACACAGCCACAGCTCGTGTATTAAATCACACACAAACAAAAGCATCTTCTGCAAATTTTTATCTAATTAGGTCTCAAACAAGCAGTCAATGGATTTTTTTTCTTAGCAAAATAAATGCATTATTTATTTCCAGCTAAAAAATCATTGTATTGTCTAAATTGGCCATATACCTTAAACTTTGGAAACAAAATAAATTCAGGCATATGACTGAAGATCAGTAAAGCAAATTGGAGTTTCAAGCCCTTGTCATTGCTAATTAAGTGACCTTGGACAAGTTATTAATCTTCCAATGTCTGTTTAGCCTTTCATCTGTGAAATGAGTATTGACCTCCGGATGAGACGTGCAAGCATTAACCCCAATCAGACTCAACTGCTACACTACACAAGGAATAAAGCAAGCAGAAAAGACTGATTAACCTATTCCTCAATTCAGCCCAAAACATTAAGATATTTCAAAGTACCATTATTCAAAGTGATTGCTGGAGAAGGAAACACCTCTTATTACCGTACAAGCTTCTGATTGACAATCATTAGTGAAATAAAGTGACAACCACATAAAATGTGTCTTTGAAATTCCATTTTCTGCAAAAGATCATCTAAATACAATTCAACTCCCATTTCCTTTCTTTATTCTCTCTCTCTCTCTCTCTCTCTCTCTCTCTCTCTCTCTCTCTCTCTCTCTCTCTCT